ACAGTGTATGCTTATGTAATTCAAAAAGATGGATTGGGAAAACAAAAAACGAATTTGAAATATTAAAATTTCTTCTTTTAAGTAGCACTTGATATATTTAACTAAAAAATTCATCTTTTTAAGATCAACTTTTTGGAAAATAATTATTAGAGGGGGGTAGGCAAAAAACCATGCTGCTACCTTGGCCACAGCATAGAGATTTTATCATACGCTTGTTCTAAAATACCCTCTAGCACGTTTTTAATTGAATTAATATTCCTAATTGTTTTATAAAATATACGAAAAAGCTAAAAACTAAATGGAAATTTATAAAGCCAAAAAATGTTTCATAAGAAAGAATTCAACTCTTTAGTCCTTACTACCAAGAATTTCTACAATTGGCAACAATTAAAGTTTTATATATATATATATATATATATATATATATATATATATATATATATATATATATATATATATATATATATATATATATACAGCATATGCAATATAAGTCTATTTTTCCTTATATGTATATCCTAGCTTTCCGAACCCATAAAATACGGGTCTTTACTAAACCTACTATTTCTATACTTATCTATTCCACACCGATCACTTCTATACCTATTATTTGTTTACTTCAATATTTTTAAGTAAAATAATTATTTTGAAAAATTGCTTCAAAAACAAAAAAACTAACATGCGCACCTTTTCCAAATACCTAGAGCTTTTAAGAGATTTATAATAAGGTTTGTTTTTCTCCTAAACACATATCATCGATAGCAGAGTGGTTTAGTGCGCTGTCATCAGTGTTGTTTTGGAGGATTAAAGATCTCCCTTAATAAATTTTAAATATTTTTCAATCTTGCTGTATTTATAACAAAATTTTTATTATAGTATATATCAATAATAATTACAACAATATTTATAGCAAAAAAATAATACTATTGCAAAAAAGTTTTTAAATTGACCTTTCCCCATAAAGCAATGCATTATGGTATTTGTATGTACGCGGAAGAAAACAACAGAAATTAGTCAAGTAAAATGTCAAATATTGAACTGAGATTGTCCCAATAGACTTTGGCAGTGCCGGATCAAGGAAGGGAGAGGAGGGACTATAGCCCTGGACCCCGCAAATTTAGGGGCCCCCAAAAATTTTAGAGGACCTTTTTTTTTTTTAAAGTCATTTTTAGGCTCTGGTCTCTGGTCCATAAAGGCCTCCAAAAACAAAAATAGACCCGGGCCCAAAAAAGTCTTAATCCACCACTGGACTTTGGTGTAATTTATTTCACACCTTTTAAACTTTTTAGTTCAAATTTTAAAAACTATAATATTGGAGTAAAATTTGCACATTATAAGACTTCAAAAAAAAAATAACAACAAGTGCACCAAACAATATTTTTCAACTAAAAAGCAAACAAAAAAAAACTCGGGATTTTACATGTTTGTACCTAAATGTTTTAGCAAATAAAACATAAAAATTTATTGTTTTATGCAATTCCCAACATTGAAAATATTGAAGAATAAAAAAAATATTAATTTCTTCTAATAATTTTTACATACTTTTACATCCTTTCAAATAGTTTTTTAATCATAAAATGAAAATAAAATGTATTTAAACAAGATAAAATCTTATTGAACCAGTTTTCATTTTCAAATTTATTTGATTGCACAAAAAAAAGTCTATATTTTTGTGTAGAACAAAGTCAATTTCGCTCTTTTCTGTAAAAGCTTTGATACCTTGACATTGGTAAAATTAACTGTTTGATTTTTAGTTTTTGTTGTCTATTACTATTTCCATACAAAAATTTTTATTGGTACAAGCTTTATGTATACAAAGATTTCTTTAAAAAAAAGAGTAGTTTACTTCAATTATTTTGCAGCTGTCTTAGTTAATACACAACCCATCAGGGCTAGAATCAGCCATAGGTATTTAGGATTTATAACAAGATTAGATATTTTAGCATCACAGTTAACTTTCACTTTAAACTTTTCATGAGCAATATCTTCATTTTCAATACTCCACTAACAAGCTTGTGATTGTAAACTACTATCACAGTTTCTTATAAGCTTTTTTAAAAATTAAGTTAGGGTATTATTTCTATGGTTTATAACTGTACCAAAATTTGATGTAGTAAGTTTTTTATTTTGTTCTCCAATCCATTTTTGTTTTTGTATTGATTTTTAGTTTTTGATTTCATTTGAATTATTTTCTTAAAATTGATTATAGCAAGCTTCTTAAAATTGATTATAGCAATTATAGCAAGCTTTTATTTTTGTCAATCAAATTAGTTTTAATTAAATGGTCCAGACAGTGTAGAAATTTTTCCATTATAACTAGGCTTAAACTCTTCAACATTTTTCTCATTTACTCGTTAGTTAATATTTCACAAAATGATTTTGGCTAAATTTAATTTCAATAATTAACACAGCAATTGTCATTCCTTGGTTTAATTCTATATAATAAAATGGTTTAACTCTAATTTATTTTACATAGTTCTCTTTAAATAACTGATAACCTGCTAAGTAAATACATGTCGGAAACAGAGATGTTGTCTTTTGACCATTAAATTACATCTTTAGAGATAATTTTGTTTTCGTCGCTGTTAAATTCCTTGTTTGTAATTATACAAAATGTTGCATTTAGAGGGATTTTTAAAAAACTAGATCCAGCAGGAATATTTATAGAGTTAATTAAATATTCTTTTACTTATGTATACTTGTAACATATACTTCAAGCAAGCTTCTCTAATGAAATTTAACTACAACTGCGTTAAAATATTTGTTTATATTACAAAGCAGTTATTCTCCTGTGGAGATAATAAGATTATAATAAATTATGTAAAACTGCTATAAATATCAGTTTTACATAATTTTAACTTTTAATTATTTTTAAAAATAATAAATTTAATAAAATGGTTTATTTTAAATATAAAATTAGATTTTTCAACTATGTTCTTATTAAAAACATACTTTTTAAACCCTAGTGTTTTAAAAAAAAGTTAAGATCGCCGGGTGGAAAGTTTAAATCATCAGCTTTTTTTTATTTTTTATTTTTTAAAATGCTATAACAAAACAACTTTATAGTTCTATAGATTTTATATATAATCATGTTGTTTATACTGCACGAACTCAACTTAGTTGTTTCGTTTAGTTTTACATTTCAAAAACTTGAAATGTAAAACTAAACGAACATAGGTATCTCAATCATGACACATACGCAACAAATTTTCCCCTGTTTTGATGTTTTTAGAGTTTTAAGCTTTTTTAAAAATCTTTTCGTTTGTTAAAGTGTATAATATCATTACATGTGTTTGTATATAATCTCTAAACTTCACAAGAATATCCTCACGCTAACCATTCGGCCAGGGTGGCACATTGACTAACGAAATTTCAAAAGTAAATAATAATTTTTTTTAACATAAATAAATCCTATAGATCAAAATTAAGAATTGAAGAAATGCACTTTTCAAGTGAAAGTAAAACTGTAAAACTAAATATATGTTTTAGTTTGTTTTAACATTACATAGTTTAAAGTTCACGTACGTTAGATGTTTGCATACACTTTCGTTCAAGTTTTCTTATAAAAAAAGCTGCTGCAACTCTTTCTTGCCATTACCTCGGTTGCAATGGTGCCAAGAGTTCTGTGTCAAACAGGCTCGAAAGGGCACTACTATTAAGTTCAGTATTATTATATAGATACAAAAATTATATATATATATATATACATATTAAATGTATATATATATGTACAAATTAAATGTATATATATGTATATAATAAATTTATATATATATATATTAAATGTATATATATATACATATTATATATATATATACATATTATATATATATATATATATATATATATATATATATATATATATATATATATATATATATATATATATATATATATATATATATATATATATATATCAAAGTACATACATGTTCCAGCATGTTTTTCCAAACAACCCTTTTCAGTTTGTCCAGCGAATGGTCACCCTGTATATATTTGCTTACGTACATAAAGAAACACATAAATGCAGATACGCATGTATTTAACACACATATATGCTCGTAATAGTGCGTGTATTAAAATCAAATGCTGCTGAAAATCTTTCATAAGCGCTAATAGCTTTTACTTTCAAGTTGGACTCACAATTACAAAATTTTATAAGTTAACAATCAAATCAAATAATAATTACAAAAAGATTAATAATTAAATGCGCGCCTACCCATAACAGATTATGAGTATCTAAAAAGAAAACATTTTGCAGGTGAACATAGCTAAAGTTTAAAGTATCATTAAGCCAATTTTTATTGTATCCAACTTATAGGTTCAAAACCACAAAAACCAGAAAAAGTAGCAACAAATTATTATTTTACTTATATGCTTTAAAAAAAAAAAAAAACTGGAAAAAAGTGAAAAGCTATAAACGCCATAAAAGGTCATATTATGCCATTATACTTATAAGGTCATATTAGGTCATTATCACAACTAATTTTTACTTAATTTTCTCCCTAAGAAGAACTTTAAGCTACAAACGCATTTAATCACAAAAGTTAACATCATCTCATACATGATTAGAAAGTATAAAAACCCATCAAATGATTTTTATTGTGTAGATGCAATTTTTTTATAAGAATTGCAGCCAAAAAAAAAAGTTAGATATGTCAGCAAATAAAAATTTGGTTGCAGTAAATAAATTTGAAGTAAAAATTTGGTCTTGTGCTGTAAATAAAACACCTTTTAATAAATGCTGAAATCACAAGAAATATAATAAAACTAATAATAATTATAGTAATAATGTTTTAAACCATAAATTTTTGTTAGTGGAATGAAATTTTTCTAATAGCTTAAAAGTGGTTGGTAAAACATGACAACTTGTTATGAAAAGAAAAGGGACTTAAATTGCATATAATTGTGTGACATAAAATATGGACAAGCTTTTAATAAAAAGTAGAAACAAGATTGATCTTAAAATTTTGAAAAAACTTTTATTTTAAAAACCTTACCATAACATCTTTTTCAGATAGTTGTTTTTGAGTTTCTTTTTGAACAGCATTTTTTACGCCTCCTAAACTTTTGAGGTGTTCTACACTTTCCAACAAAGTTTTAACAGTCTTTGGTAACCCAAACGATTTTAAAAGGTTCTCTCTACGCAAAAGATTTCCCAGTCTTTCTTGTTCATCGTATTTATTTATGGGACAAGGTTCAGATGAGTTTAATAAAGTAATACTTCCCTTCAAAATAATATGACAATGTTCATAAATAAAATTTATTTTAATAATACCGTAAACTGCATACAAATACCTTTGTTTTCTTTATTACTGACACAGTTGTTCTACTCAGACGTCTTTTAACAAGATCGATTTTTGAATCTAAATTAAATAATTCAAATATTAATTTAAAAATGATTAAAAGATTGAAGTTTATGTAAAAATACTCTGTTATTAACCTTTTTTTATTTAATAAACATATTGTCCTGACAGAGTTTTTTTTTTTTCTTATAATTTTTTTTTATTTTAATTCACCTCCTCAAGGCCGAGAAGGCCACTACAGACGAGGAGGCTACTTATTTGTGGTTATAACCCTCTCTCAACTCTATAACTCTGAAACACGAACCTTGACGAGCAAGGCCGCTGCGCGGAGAAATGAGTTGAGCGCGGTACTACCAGGGACGTGGTGGGGATCGAACTCGGAACCACTCGTTTATGAAGCGAGCGCTCTACCACCACACCACTACCGCAGTTTATAAATATGAATTTATTTAATGTGATTTCTACGATATACATGTTGCAGTACCCCTGCCTTTTTTTGTTACCTATTACACATACATATGGGCCATTCTCAAATTAGTGAAACCAGAGAGCTAATTTTTCAAACATGTTATTTTGACAATTTTTTTGCATACTTTCATTAAAAACATACTAAATTTACATTTTAGAATAAATTTAGAAGCTTTTGTAAAGTGTATAGAAAAATATTGAAATACATTTTTATTGTTTTTAAAAGTCTAAGTTTTTCAACTTTTAACAGCAGTGTATTATTTTGCATTTATTATAATAAATACTTATCTGATATAATGTTTATTACATAAAAGCATTATCATAACTATCTTTTTATAATTCAAACAGAAAAAAAAATATTTTGAAAGAATATGGATATATATATTTTACAAATTAGTTAATACCCTTGTTGTGATGTCACACGCGTAACAAAAAACAACTAAAAGTTTTATTTGTGAACGAAATATAATGAATTTAAAAAAAAATATTTTTAATTATAAGCAAAAAGTATTAAAGAAATAAAATATAAAAAAAAAAATTATCATATTGCAGTACTATACCTAAAAAAAAGTAAAATAAATTGGGTCACACACGTAACGCAGTTTTATCGTTGATGTTATATGTACTACATAAAACAAAGTAACAATAATAAATTCTAGAAACCAGGAAATATATATTAGAAGTGGTTAAAACAAAATGATAAATAATATATGATGAAATAAATATACCATTTTTAAATATCTTTAACAAGAATTGATATAATTTAGTTTTATTTAAATTTTTTAATAAATTGAACAAGAAAACAACAACAAAGTGGTTTTTTGTGATTTACTTTCAATTTAAATCTGTTATGACATAACATATATAAATTATTTAATTGATAAAATACAGTAAAATAATTACATAAATAAATAATTACTTTTAAGTTTGTTACCATGGCTAATTATTAATAGTTTTCTGTTTTAAGTTTATATATAATGAAAATTAAAATGTCTGGAGCTGAAAGACTGAAAAACTACAGAGAAAAAAGAAAAGCTGACAAAGAATATTCAACTAAAGAAAATGAAAGGATTGAAAAACTAAGAAAAATAAAAGTTGCTAAAATGAATAAAAAAAGAAAAAACCTTGTATAAAGAAAAAAATCAAATACGAAAACAATTAAGTAGACACAACATTAAAGAAAAAAGAAATAAACCAATAGCCTCAAGTTTAAATAGTTGCAGTCCTTACCAATGCAATCAGACCTTAGGAAAAGCTTTATCAAAATCAATGAGAGCTCTCCCAAAATCTCCAACTAAACGTAAAGTTGTTGTACAAGGTTTAGCAAACCATGTTGGTTTTGTTTTTAAAAATAAAATTGAATTAAAAGAAAAGAAATTATCAGGTAATACCAGTAAAAATGATAAGTTAGTAATTGATTTTTATTACAGACCAGACATTGTCTATGCAATGTCCGGTCTAAAAGATGAAATCACAGTGTGGGAAAATGGAAAAACAAAGAAATTGAGAAAATACTTTTCGACAATGTTTTTGAGAGAGGCACATGCTATTTTTCAATTAACCTATGGAAAGCTTATACCTTTTTCTACTTTTTGTAAGCTGAGGCCTAAAAATGTAATTTTTTTAGAAGACACACCTGTAGACCCGTGTAAGTGCAAATTGCATGAGAATTTTCGATTATTACTTAAAGCATTATGCATCAACTATAATAGTTCATGGTAGTTTGATAACCTCTGTATTTCACAGTCACTTAATTCATCTTGTTGGCTCGTCTGCAATGCAAAAACGCAGTAAAAAAATCACTTAAAAACTTAAACCCAGCTAAGCAGGTCGTGTGGCAACAGTGGAGCAAAAATTATTCTGGTTGTTTTCAATTACAATCAAAAAATGGGTGCAAGGGGGAAGTAATAGAGGAATTACTATTTTCTTTATCTAAATTCCAAGAACATAATCGAATAAAAAGAATTTAAGCAGCTGAATTTGAGAAGGACAAAGGGACTGTAGGAAAAAGAATTCAAGTTGATTTTGCAATGGCGTATGTTTGCAAATATCAAAATAAAGTAGAAAGTGCGTTGTGGAGTAGAAATTCAGTTCAATTTACAGGTGCTGTTTTCTTTAATAATGATTGCAAAACATATCTCATCTGTTCAGACACAAAAGACAAGGGCAAAGAAAGTGTCAACTGCTTTATTGAGAATTTATATGAACGACTAATGTCTGAAAACTCTTTAAAACTAAATTTGTTATGAAATTACCCAAACAGTTATCTTTCCAGTATAATAAAACATTTGAATGGAAATATTTTGCAACATCCCATGGAAAGGGGGTTGTAGATGGTGTTGGGGGTAGAGCAAAGTCACTTGTGCGAATGAAATGTATGAGCAAGAATGAGAAAGTATGTGTACAAAAATTTATGGATTTTTTCAATGTTCTGAAACCATTAATGGTATCTACTACTATTCTCCACTTTAGTAATGATGAAATCAGTAGTAGAGTAGACAAAGAAAAACCTTGGTTAGAAGTCAAAAAAAACACCAGGCATACAAAAAATTTATCATGTTAATGCTTCAAAAGGATGCTTGTCATATTTCAAAACTAGTGATTTAAGATCATCTGATTTTCAAATAAAATATATTAATGATGTAATCCTTAAAATAACACCCACATCTTCGAAAATGGCTAATAATGATTGGTGCTTTGTACAGAACGATGATACAATGTATCTTGGTAAAATAAAGCTGAAAAAATTGAAACTTTGAAAAAGCAATCATCTAATAGTGCTATTATGTTGGATCTTTAATCAAGTATATGCTTTATGTTAATAAAATATTAATTAAAAAAAGATTTGTTTTAAATTTAAAAAATCATTTAAAATTCGTACTATGTCACACATGTAACAAAACTTGTCACACACGTAACGCAAAAGTTTATAATTTATTTCCATGAAGATGTTGTAATTATGACAAATGAAAATAGAATTTATAAACACAAGTATTTTGTTATTAATAGAACAAAATATCTTTTTTTTAATCATAGCCAATTAGCAGAAAATTGTAATCAAAGTTTGAAATTCAAAATAATGTTTTCTTACGCGCCACACACGAAATGCAACTAAACTGTCATTTTATCAGTATGTGCAATACAAATATTTTTAAGAAAAATATTATTTAATATCAGGTACATCCCCTACTTTTATAATTTCAATATATATCTAGCATATATTTTATAAATATTTTTTTATAGCCTCTTATACTGCAAAATATTTGTACCAGAGTCACACACGTAACACGAGAGTCACACACGTAACACAAGAGTCACACACGTAACATGAGAGTCACACACGTAACACGAGAATCGCCCATATACTTATGCATGTAAGTTTAACGATCAGAGTATAGACTGAAATAAATAGAATTTTTTTTGATTTTAACAACTATTTAGTTAAAATTCACTAACTAGTGGAAGTTTTCAGTGGCCAAAAAAATATTATATATATTTATAATCGACTCCAAGTTCTAAGCAATCTTTGTGAAAACTTTTTACTATGACTTGAATAAAAAGAAATAAAAAAAAATTAGAAGTAAGACTACAAATACTGTATCCAATGCCGGCATCATTTTTTAATACAGGTATTTTGGTTATTTAGCAATTTTCAAAAGCAGTAATAACCAACTATAATGGTTATTATTATTTTTGTGGATCAATAATAACCATTATTGTTCCACAAAAACATCATTAATGCAGCTTTTGATAAAATTTATTTAATGTTCAATCATCCCTTTTACATTTTGTAAGCTTTTCTTTACAATCAGGTAAAACACTGGTGGAAAGGAAATATTCATTTGTTTGCTGATTGAACCACTCAATCAGTCAAACTATGGCATTTACAATGTCAGATTTGCGCTCAAAAGTGGTCAAAAGAAGACATTAAATTTAAAATGTCTAAAAAATTTGTCTGACACTCATTTACTTGTCACACAAACATGGCTTTTAATTTAACAAGTAATTCTGTGTCTAAATGGATATTTGCTGTGATGTATCAGGTGCCAATACTGTTGCATCATTGTGACAATGCATTTACAATCAGACTCATTGGCGCAAAATATGCCACAACAAATAAAATTTTGCCAAACTCTTGATCATTTATCTCAATTTTGTACTCAAGTTTATTAAGCAAATTGCAAATGGAATGCTTTAATATCATGAAATGTTCAACTATCGTGTGAAGGCTAATTCAGCAAGTTTTGGGGTCAGGTTTTAGTGGAAGGGCTTCACCTAATTAGTCTACTGTGTATTTATGGACTGATCATTTTTGTTAGAGAACTTAATTTTTGTTTGCCACTTACACTGCTATTCTTGTCATCACAGATCCTTTGTTTTTTTGGCAGAAATTAATAGTTTTTTGTACAAAACACGAAAAATGTACTAACATCTTTTTGAATGTCATTCACAATGCAAAACTGTTAATAACAATTCCTTAGATGCCTCACATTGTGCATTACAGAAGCTCCATCAGCAATAATGCACTCAAAGACTTCATTGTGATTCAGTATAAACTGTATCAACACTTTTTGAATTAACCGCAGGCAGTA